GAGAGAGGAGAATGTCATCCTATCTCTCATAATACTGTCTCTTATACACAACTAGATGTGTATAAGAGACAGGAGAGAGAGAGAGAGAGAGAGAGAGAGAGAGAGAGAGAGGGGAAAGAGGAGTAGGAGGATGGGACGGAAGAGTTAGAATGTTGACTGAGTCTCGTGATTTTGTTGAGGCTCCTGAGGGATGATACACACAAGGTAGTAGAGTCATTGTCGAGGAACAGAAGGGATAAGAGTGCAAATCTTAAGTACAATAACTTCGGGTATAATCCACTCTAGTGAAGAAACTTGTCCCTTGTCAAACTAAAGGAAAGGCAGGGACACAAAACCCCAGCCGAAGCCTGCAAAGCATGGTCAACAGAACCTGAATAGAAAAACGGAGCAACAAACAAACAAGAAGGGACCTCCTATGACATATATGTAGATATACGACCAATGCGAACGAGTGCTGCTGCAAACACAACCCAAAGACGAGCAACTGTCAATCTTCTCTTCTGAGCTCTAACTAAAGGATCTGTATGGAGACGTGGTGGTGTCCAATATCGCACTCTCGGTGCACGTTCCCTCCGACATGTGTGCAAGAATCTCCCTGTCCGATTCTGTCATTCTAACAATTGACACACAAACAGCACGTGTGACGCTGCATAAGAATGACTCCCAGGAGTTTGACTGTGTATTATGTGGGTGTGGGCGTCCATGCATGTGTGGCATGTGTTGGTCTCTGTACGTGTGTGTGCGCGGCGCATGTGTGTGCTGTTTGTTACATTTATCCCAAATCCCTAAGCTACAGATGGAAAGGAAAGGCCACAAATGCTGGATCTTTGTCAAGCGCAAGGTTTCCCACTCGGATGAGTGGCAAGTGCTCGCTTCCCAGAGCACAAAGCTCGAGCACAAATGTCCACTGCAAAAGAAAGGTGAGCCCTTCATAGGGGCCTGTATGAGCGTGCGTGTGTGCATGTGTGGTTGGGTGTGGGCGTGCGTCTGTGTGTGTGTGTGTGCTTGTGCATATGTGTTGTATGTGTGTGTGTGTGAGCAGGTGTCTGTACATGC